ATCTGTCCAAGCCGTTAACGCTTGGAGAACATTGTGATCTATAGTGCCCCATGAGACAAGTGACATCACCACAGACACAGGTGAACTGCTGGGCCCTGTTGAACCAGGTTTCCATCCTGATTCTGCCATTTTGTATGGTCATGTGCAACTTATGGTATCACCCTGAGTCTTTCTTTTATCACTTACATTGGTGGAAGGGTAATGCTTCCTACTTCAGTGGTCTAGTTGTATTAAATGAGATTTGTGTAATGTGCCTCAGGCATAATATGCAGGAGACCCCAAACAATCCATGTCTTTTTTTTTTTTAAGTATGTGTACAATACTTGGGATTTTAGCACATCTTTAAGTTCCAGCTGAGAATTTCAGGACAGGGATAAGATGCTTGAGGCTATTTCACAGTTTTGTGAGCTAAGACCCTTCTAACCTTAGGAACCCAGTTAAACCAGCAGCTGAATTTGCTGGCAGATAATAAATGCATGGGTTCCATCTCGGCTCCTTATAAACACTGAATAAATCGGAAATGCCCCACCACTGGAAAGAAATTTAATATTTAAAGGTAATTTGACCTGTACATGTGCGTACCATGAATATTTAATGAATCCTATAGCAAATGTATTTATATAGCATTAATCTGAGGATATTTATTTCCTATTCATTTTCTAGGGCATTATTTCCTCAGCATGTGGGAAGTGACCCTCTGTAAAAATGCTCAGCTCTAAAGGTGAGCTTAAAAACTGTGGAGTGGAGCTGTTCCTTTTTCTGCTGCAACTGTCGATGCTCCCTCTGCCCCCTTAAAAAGAAAAGGTGATTCTAAGGGGACACTAAGATGTGTCCCCAAGACTGTGCCATAGGGTTATCCTCATAGTACCACCCTTTTGACTCCTCATTCTACTTTATATAATATTTACAACTATAGACAGCAAAATCCAACTTTTTCACTTTCATTTGATATAAATAATTTCACTCCTTTATAATATTTCAACTTGTAGTGCTTTACATGAAAAGGGTAGGCATAGGCATGATTCAATTTAGTTGACAGTTTGTATAATACCTAATTGAGATATTTTTCTCATCTCTTTTTTGCCTAGGTTAGGAGACCTATGTGGAATGATGTTTTTCTCTGATGTAACTTCAACCTTGGGATTAAGAAAAAGCAAAATCAGCCAAACAAATAACATCAAGTAAGCTGAAGGTACTGTGTCCCAATGGAATTTGGTCTTATTTTGTGATGTTTTCACTAAATCAGAAGTGGTAGATTTGGGGAGAAAAAAGAGAAGGTGCTGTCTGATCACTTTTTATAACTTAAAAACCCCAACCTATGTGAGAGGAAATAATTACAGAAAAATGAATGTTAACTCCTTTCCTATTCTGGTGGGTAACAGTAAAGGTTAGAAAAAGTAGTGTAACCCATTGGTCAAGGGTTCTGTGTGGTAAGTCAGAACTGCAAGCTTTGTTCATGTTTTCAGTTGTCTTCATTTTATAATCACGTTCCTCTTTAAAATGTTACTCTGGCAGGGAAAACAAAACCAATATTTATAATCAGCATAGTGTTTTAACATGTCATGAGCAAGATGTCATGCTTTGCTATCTAATGGAAAGAAAATAAAACTTCAGAGTGAAACTTAAACTACTCTAATTATTTAAAAGCACAGAATTCCAAAGGCCTTTTTTCAAAGGCTCCACGTTTAAGAATTGTAGCCCAGAGGAATTGATAATGTGTTCACGCTAGAAGAAATGCTTGTAGTTAACGTGGAAGGCTGGTTCACATGTGACTTCATTATAAAGTCACCAAGCTCTGCCCTGACTTTCCCTGACCTTCATAGTCCAGTGGATCTTAACCATTAAGCCTGGGGATGCATTGCCTGCTGTTCAAGAATGTTTGAAACCTCATGTTTTTACCTACTTGTCATAAGTCTTTTGGGGCCTTTAGATAGAGCCCCTTTTTCTTTTCTCATGGGGATGGGCAGTGTGATGTGGTCAGTGGCTGTATCAGTTAGGGCAACCCTAGGTTTTGGGACCCTGTGGAAATGGATTTGTAAGAAAAGAATAACGGCTTGTTCTCGCGGTTAATTTCAGATTAATGTTTTGAGGTCAGTGCTCAACAGGCCTAGTAAAGTGCGATGTGGCACACGCACACACAATGATAAAATGAAATAAAAATTCTTACAAAATATGTACCCTTAGGGAATGTAATTACACGATGATAGTTCCCGTTCCAGTTTATCCCATTTCATAAAAAAACAAAAACAAAAACAGCAAACAAACAAAAAAACCCCACTGGTCACAACACACTAAATTGATTTCTTAGCCCACGGAAGGATTATGACCCCCATGTGAGAAGCACTGGCCTAGCACCCACCAAAGCACACTGTGTACAGTATCTGGTCAGCGTGCGTTTCTTGAATAATTAAGGTTTTAAATGTATTTGTACTTTTTACAAAGGCCATGCAGAGCCTTTTTGCATTGTCTCTTCTTTAGCGGTTTTGCTTTTAGGGCCCAGCAGAAATTTACAACACACGCAGAGGAGTTTGGAGTGGAAGCTGTAACTATTCAGGTGGCACAGTGATTCTGGAGCTCAGGTAGGGTGGCCAGATACAACATAAGGACATCCAGTTCATTTGAATTTCAGATAAATAATGAGTCATTTTTTAATATGAATTTGTCCCAAATATTGCATGGATATACTTATACTACCAAAAATGATTTGTTGCTTATCTGGAATGAAAATTTAACTGGGCATTGTGTATTTTTTAATATTTGCTAAGTACAGCAACCTTCCGCCCTAAGAACTGTTTTTCCCACTCATAGCTCATAGAGCTGAATTTCACTTCTCTCACTCAGAAAATGTGAAAGTTGACTTGGTGAACATTAAGGTCCCACAGAGGTGTAATTTTCTGTGGTTTAAGATACAGAAATTTGGAATCTATCGTAGTAAAGAGCTCTAGGTGGTGAATGAATAAAATTGAGGAAAATAATTTCAGTGTTTGTATTTATGCTGTGGTTGAATCATGCAAGCATATGTTTAACTTGTGGGGAGTGCAATGATATGTTCTCAGGAGAGGGTGGAGAGAGAGGAATGTGTGGTGTTGGGCTGTTTGGCTCGTGTTCCTCTATGGAGTAGACAGGAGATGCCGCCATGAGCCTGACATTCCCCACCAAGTTCTCATGGTGCGGGTATCTTACTGGTTATAGCGCCCACAGACTGTGCCTCTTAGATCTTTCAATTAAGACCTTTCCATTCAGAGGCAAGGAGCACAGCATCCGACAGCCTGCAGGTATAGTACCTGCAGGATCCACTGCTGCTTCTGGCTGAAACAAAGCTCCTCCTACGTCAATGCCTGCCTGTGGGAGAAGGGACCAGAGCGAGTGTTTTCTGCCCAGTGCTGGACTCCTCTACCGGGTGATCTTTTCACTGGAGCTCCTTGTTCCATTAGCTTTGCTTTGCCAGAGCAGCATGGCAGGCAGAGGCTCTCCTGCCAGATTCTGCCTGTTTTCCTCTTGCAGGAAACTTCACGTACCCCAGTAAACCTCACGTGCCCCAAATATTCTGGCTCCCCTCAAGTTCTCAGAGCCTGAAGAGGTGCCTTGCCTCTCCCTGGTAGGAGCTTGCATTTCCCCCACACGAGAAGACTACTGACTTATGATCCCTGCAAAGTCACAAGGCCCATCACCACTCTGACGGCTGCCAAGCCAAACTCTGATGGTAACACACAGCATTCTCAGGGCAGGCTGAACCTGATGATGACTTCATGCCAAAGGAGTTACAAGAAAACCAAGATAAACAGGGGGGCACCACGAGAGGACTTATGGACTGGATTTTGAGGGTGCTTGATGAAGGTATCAGAACACAGGACTGGGTGAGGAGAGTGGGTCACTCTATCAGGATATGAGATTTTAACATTATTCCAACATGAGATAATAAAAGATGTTTTCAGATCCATGGGGTCCGAAAATAGACCACTCTGAAACTTTCATAAAAAATAACAAACAACTGCTTTAAGGACATATTCTGATCAAACGAAAAATGAAGCAGAGTAGTATAAACAAGAACTGAGAGAATATGATATAAAAGAAAAAAGTGGTGAGAAGTGAAACCAATAAACCTTAGTTTTTTTTTAACACTCACTGCAAACTATAGTTAAGGAATATAATGGACATGTTAAAATTTATTCTTGAAAGGAGAGATTAATACAGTAAAAATAATGTATCAATAATAATCTAGATTCCAAATCTGAAATTATTAGGAGGTACAAAGGAGGGAGGAAACTAAAAGATAGTTGAATCAACATACTTTGGGGTTTAAATAAATGTTGTTTCATAATTGACAGTAATAAAGGAATAGGGGAGAATATATATAACCTTCTAATCATTGAAGAGCAAAAGAAAGGAAAATATGTAGAGTATTGACTTTTTAAAAAATTCTTTTTTTATTAATAAATATTAATGATTTTTCTCTGTGTATATTCTCTTTGATAATATCACAGAATATTCTATTGAATAACTACCCTCACAGCATTTTAACCAACATTCTATATTTAATGTATTAGATGTGTTGCCAAATTCTATTTCTATGAGTTTCTATCATTTTCTAGCCCAACCAGCAATGAATGAAAGTGTCAATTACCTCACACCCTGGTTAACATGCTGTTAAAATAAAAGTATATCAGTACAGTCTCATTTTAGCTCAGCCACTAAACATTTCATTCGTGTAGATTTTTCCTGCTATGAAATGATTACTTTTGCTTAAAAATGAGTTAGTGATATTTATATGCCAAGTGTATTTTTTTTTCCGCAAATAAGTTAAAATCTGTCTTTCATAATAGGACCAACTGCTAAATAAATGCTTCCTGGTTTTAGCAAATATTCTGTTCCGGGCCAAAATTACAGTCAAGTACCTTCAAAATATTTGGTATTAATTATCATCATTCTATTTGATAAGACAAGAGTCCTCTGGTGAAATACTTACAAAAATTAATTGTGATTATGGTTAGGTTTGGATAACCCATTTACAAGTGACATTTCTGATTTTAAAAGGTAGTGTTCAGATGTCTATTTTTATTTGTACTTCCCCACAGGGAGTAATATAATCATGAATGATTATATTTTCAAGGGGTTTTATTTTTTTCTTTTAACATGTTTGCTACTATTTAACCACCATCTTCTTCTTCTTATTTTTAATGGAAAATGACATTAAATACAGCACATCAAAGAATGTCAAGAAAAATTTAAGAAAGGACCTCAAATAAAAATGGAATTCAACCTTTAGCATGGGTGGTGGAATAAAATATTTAATTAAAAAAAATTTAATACCACCATAGAATCTCAAATTGTAGATAACTTTTGATTGCCTATATATCTATATGCATAAAATGGAAAGTGTACTTTTATTAGACATCACAGATAGAACAGTATTTATGCTGTGATTGAATCATGATATTGGCAGTTTGACAATATCAAAATAAAGAAAGAAAAAAATATATACCATTGACCTAGCAACTCAACAAAGATATTCCTTACATCATTGAGAATAATAACAAACTCTAAAAAAAAAAAATCATCTCAACAGTCGTTAACTGCTTACTGGTTAAATAAATTAAAGTGTATTCATATGACATAATATGTAATCATTAAGAAGAATAAGCAATAATCAACTGAAAAATACATATTTTTATACTACATGGACTCAATATAGGTCAATGTGAAAAGGTGAAAACATGTGAAATACAAAACTAAAATTAATGAAAGAAAATATGAGACAAAGTTTGTGACTCAAGGGTATGGAATAACTTAAATAAAATTCAAATGACAAATCTATAAGAAAAAGTGGATTTTATTGCAATCAAAATTGAGGATTTACTGTTAATAAACAATAGCACACATAAAGTTAAGGGATAGATAACAGCATGAGAGAAGATATTTACAATATGAAAAACTGTCAAGAAATGAGTGGCTTGAATATACAAGGAGCTCCTGCCAATCAACAAGAAAAGATGCTTCAACACCAAGAGACAGACAAACAGACAGAGATAGGCAATGCACTGAAGTGGAAATCTAAAAATTTACAAGTTAAAGAAAATCAAATTAAAACAACAACTGAATATCACTTTACCTATTAAATTGCCTAAGTGTGGAAAGATGGGTGACGCCAAGTACGAAAGGCTAGTAAGCGGGGATGTGGAAACCCTGGTGCTG